AATAAAAGTATTGGAGATATGAGTATTCTAGACAATAGAGAAGTACGCTAGAAATGAGTAGACACATATTGGAGTATATGAGAGAATCTATTATATTGGAGAGAGGAGTATACTGATGCAAAACCACACACCAAGCCGAGCTTGGATTTGAACTTGGGCTAGATAAACCGAATGTCCAATAGCTTATTTTTTTGCCCAAATTCGTTTTAAGTTTTCTAATTGATTAGTCAACAAAAATCAAACCTCCTCTTAAATTTCGTGTTTATTTCAACGACTAATCACGTGATTAATTTTGTAATTAATCTCCTTTTGTTATAAACCCAATTAGTGGATGCCCATTAGAAACCCATAATCTAGAAGGTTCTAGAAGGTTCCATCTTGTTCTCCAAGTTAAGTTTCCTCTCCAAGTTATTACTCCTCCCCAAGTAATTGTATCATATATATACTTTTGCTCTCTATTGGAATAAGACACACAATTCTCTCCATTCTCTTCTTCTCTCATTCATAACACCTTTAAGGCTTTAACGTTTTCAATCTTAAGGGTATTTGAAAAGCACGTTGCCTTCTAATTAAAATATCAAACTTGTTTTATTTTATAACATTTTAATGCATACTCATACATTCAAAATAGACAACAAAACAATTATATTTCACAATCCGAATTCGAATCCTTTTTCTTGTCCGTCCGTGATTTTCTCGCCCTCATAAATAAACTTGTATTTAGGATTTTCTTTGTATGCAACAACGGAGAGTATTTCAACTTTTCGATTTTGCGGATCAATATTATCGTCGTTTGTATGTTGTTTTAGAGTTGATATATCCACAGGAATTGCATCAAATTTTTGCAACAAATCTGTATCAATTTTTGCGCCAAATTTGCATCGAACCAGCAAATTAACGTTGAATATAAGCATTGTAAAAAAAAAATTTGAAAAATATTTTCAACCTAATTGTATTTTCGATGCTATATTCGATCGACGCTAATTTGCTTTGAAATATGACGATGCTAATTCGAGACAACATTATTGTGGAAGTTGTCATTTCAACGTTAATTCGATGCTAAATCAATATCGATTTTGCGTCGAATAATAATTACTTAATCGATGCAACTTAGACATTACAACAATTTTTGGAAGCTATTTTGGATGCAAAGTTGCTGTTTTTTGCAGTGCATCCAATTATTGCATCTAAACTCATTTTAAAAACTAATAACATCCAGTTTTCTTGTCTGGATAGCAGATGAGTCATCCGAACGTGGAAATTAAACGAATATGCCCTAATAATTTGTAATATTTAGCTACATCAATTTTAAATTTGCGCATTAGTTTGTATGTTTTGGAATTCTTACATAACATTTTGACAATGTTGTGTACAAGTAAAACTAATAGGGGGATTTTGAAAAGTACCCCAAATTTTATATGAAAATTTGAAAAATACATTTAATCTTGTAAAGTTGGAAAATATATTTTTTTATTACGTAAAAGTACGTTAATACCCTTATACATATTTAATATGCTAAAACCCTTAAAAATAATTTAAAATTATTCAATTTAAATTCGAAATTTAGTTTTGTATTTACTTTTTATTTTTAAAAATATTTTGGTAGTAAATAAATATCTAAAAGGTAAATTCTTTATTAAAATAAAAAATAAAGATTGACTTATTTTCACAGTCGACTTAGATTTTGGTTGG